TGAAAATTCAGATCGATACAGATATGATTAATAAGATCAAGATCTCCAGACGATGTGGTGCTGCAGGTTTTTTCGGCTTTTCCTGCAGCTCAAAAAGCAAATGTACCACTGGAATCAATCAAGTCGCCCCGGAGCGCCAATTGATTTTTGTTGTTGTTTTATAATTTCATGATTTGTATTTTGGAAGAATATTCTGGTCAATTAACTAATAAATATTATTGAGATAATTAATAAAATTCTTAGTGTTTTTACATGCTGAGCATCCCTTTTTCTTTCAGTTTTTTTGTTATAAAAATGAGCCATACAAACAGTGTGATAATGAGCTTTTACTGCGACTAAATCAGGCACATTTCTGAAACGAGCTGATATGTTTTTATCGAATTCATTTGAAGTGTTTTGTTAATTATTGTAGTCCATCTCGTCTTGTGTTTGTAAATCTTTTGCTGGAAAAATCCTCACTTGTTCACTTTGTAGTAAATGTTCAAGAGGTAGCGAAAAGTAGTTTTCAAAAACATTGAGGATAATTTCAAAACATCACTTTTCCCAGTCACTAGAAATGCCATACTCTTATTGACACGCGTTTCGCCAACCAAGTTAGCATCATCAGGAGATGAAGAAGATGAAGAGAACAGTTTTCTTCATCTAAGCTGGGATGAAGACGGTACATTTTTTTCAAAATCACAGACATTGATTGAACTTCCTCAGAGAAAGAAATCGATGGGTATCACATCAAGCGCTTACAGAGCACATCTCGAGTTGAACTCTTATTCTTTTCTAGAGAAGTTGAGAAGAGGAAATGCTGTCAGACCTATTATCTTCGGAAAAATATTACAATTAGAGTCTGTTATGTTTTATCGCATATCATCGATCATAGTTGGACTCGTAATGCGACTTTTTTTGTTGGAAAATTACTGGAATTGTATCTGAAAAAAACAGCTTGCATGACTACATGACTTTCTAGATTAATGTGTTATCGATTATACTTCATTTGTTATATGCATTGTTCAGACATGTAAATCTATACTCGTAACTTTACTTAGGCATTGCGATGACGTGTGAAATATTGTAGAAATCGACACGAATCTTTTACAGCATGAAAAAATCTATTTTAAGAGAATGGAAAGTGTTGATGGTTTTCATATTTTTTACTGATTTCCATAACAAATGGAACACGAACTACTAATGAAATTCTTATGTTTTAACAAAATCAGTTATGTATTTTTACTTGCGAAATTTACAAATATGGAAGCAGCTGTTTCTAGATGGGTGCGAATTTTTGTACCTTCACTCCTATTTTTTGGTCTATTTCGACCGGATAAATCTGGATTTTCTCATTTGTGGCCCTGCCATATGTCTACACCGTCACGTTTCAAAAAATTAATCTCCAAACGGATAAACCGCAACGCGAAATGATAAACCTTCTCACGTCTCGTCTGCTTCTATCAATATGAGTTTGGTTCTCGTGTCTTACAAGGATATAATTTGAGCCCGTTCCATATGAAATACAATAGAAAGTAAACCTGGAACCTCTGGCGTAGAATAAATTCAAAACAAGCCAAAATATATACATCGCTCAGACTGAGCGAGTCATAAAAACTCGTTTCAAAGACCATGCAGCACTTATCCGATTTCGGAGACCAGAAAAAATCTGGTTACGCTCGAAAAGCCTTGAAGAACGGCCAAAGAATGAATAAAAACTGTCTGAAATTATTGAGATCGGTACATGACACTAGATATTTTGATGCTTTCGAAAGTCTGGAGTGAGAACTATGAACAGTGACAAAGCTTCTATTTCAAACATCCCATTGTTTGGATAAAGCATTCAAATTGACCCAACATTGGTCTAGCCTTCTTAGATACTGAATCATCATCCACAACATGACACATTCATCCCCGTAATCTTTTCATAAAAGAGACTAGGATTTACCAAGTTCCACTATAATTCTAAGTTGGGACATTGCTCAATTAAAACGTTAAAATGATATTTTCAACGAGCGGCAAATCCATGATCCAACACGAATAAAGGATATGGTCCAACTGAGCAAGCTAGTGTCGTCCAACCGGCTGGAATATGGACAGGGGACGACTCGGCAAAATGAAGTTTGATCATGAAGCCCGCACCGTTTGTCTCACATTTCGTAGAATTGTAATGATATATTAAAATTAAGCCAATTAGATTTTGTTGAGAATGTTTTGAAACTTATTGTATTTTTTGTTTTTCCTTGGCTAAACTGAAAAACATAAAAGTGACAATTGACCAGTTCATTCACGTGTTGATCAATGAAGTCGACTTATTATTATCGAATTTCTTCTAAATATACCTACTTGCTGTAAAAACAATTAAAACGAGTATTAAGGTGAGTCAATCCCACTGTGGAAATGTTATCCAATAATTGAAAAATAATAATTTAAAATTATTTGTAACATTTCGATAATAAAACGTCTACTTATTCCGTTTTTATCGCGTTTTCCTCGATTGATCGGAATTTACGTACCGTTAAGCCTGTTCAATAAACATAGAAGATAAAATCAACATATCTGTAGCTGCCAACACAAATTTTATCATTACCAGCTCTTCTATTAATGTGATTATTTATGTGTTTGAATAGATCCGTCATGCTACATTAGTTTGAATATTGGACAGGAAATTAGATAAATAAGCCAAGAATATTGAATGTTTTACTCGATCAATCTACTTTAACGCTAATGATGAATATATGGGTGTGAATTTCTGAACTGCTATGTTTCTATACGAAATTAATTGTCGGTGGATATATAGTGTGTTCACACCGATTGAGCGGGGTTTATTTTATTTGTGAATTCATAAAAAAAGTTATACTCGATGAAGAAATCTGCTTTGCTCAAAACTTCCATTTTTGAATCGAATCAGATCTGTATCTACAGGGTGAATCATCGAATTTGTTTTTAATTCATATTTTGAACATAAAATGATAAAAAAGGTTCAATAAAGGTATTCCCGGAAATTTTTCAGAAGTAATACCACAAGACCTCAAGATTTCACCGATAAATTTCCATTTTTCATTGGTTGAATGCATTAATATAAGAAGATGATTTACATTTTCAAATTAAATCAATTTCATTACCTAAGTAAGGAGAAATTTCAACAAGAACATTCATGTGATGGAATTAGCGAATACATGATGAAAATCCATAACATATTCAAATTACACTTTATTGTGGAATTCTCAGTGAACATGTTTAGTGAAAATCTCAATATAAAGCATAACATTTGTTTGAAAGTACAATTATTTTACACAATGTTTGAATATACAGTGCTTTTCTTTAATGTCTCCCCTTTTATTTTTTGAACGGGTCAACTCAAAATTTTAAAATTTGAATACTTTGTTTGTGAAATTGACAGATGAAACTTTCAAGATGGCGACTGGGCGCCATCTGGGAAAAAAATTAAATGGAAGCTCCTGACGAATACTTCGCAACCCAAGCATATGAAATCAATATCTTCACCTACTACAAAATAGCGGAAAATTTAATAATTTCCTGAAGACAAACACATTAATATCGATATTTCTAGAAATATTCCTTTTTATCTGTCATATGGC